TTTTTGTACATTTTATTGCATTATATACAAAATATCAAAGCAGCATTTGCAAACAAATTATGGTAGACTTTTTTAGGACTAACTTCACCTTTCTGAGGTATTTTTTGTAAATATTATTTTTAACTGACTGGCATTGAGGTAATTTTTCATGGATGTATGATGTCACTTTATCTCAAATACATTATGTTCCACAAAGTTTGACAACCAGAAAGTGTCCAACACGTCTTGTCTTCATTTTGAAGAAAATATCTATTGTTTCATATTTTGAAACCTAGACAGACAGACAAAGAGAAAGAAAGAAAGAAAGAAAGAAAGAAAGATAGATAGATAGATAGATAGATTAGGTTTTGGATCGATCAATCGAACTATAAATGGATACAGAGAGTGAATTGTTTTAGTGAAATCATTCAGTGGGTTTGTTTGTATTTCGGCTCTAGGTTACCTCAATACTGAAAGACTGGTATGTCGCTCTCACTCTTAAGTAAATGTTTTACCCCTAATCAAATACCAGTAATGTGTGCACAGTTTATGTGTGTGTTCATTAGATAAATTAATATTGCGAAAAAAAAAACATGCATGTAGGCTTATGTATATAATTCACCAATATTTGGCAATACAAAACACTCACTGTAAGGGCATATATATATATATATATATATACACAGTTTTACTTGAAACAGTGTTGTGGAGTTACAAGTTACATGTAACAGAATTACGTAATTTAATTACAAAAGAAATATGTATATATGTAAAAAATAAATATATATAACTATAATGTTACAGATAATGAGAAAAATTGTGTAATTAAATTACAGTTATGAAAATATTAACTATTACGAAGGGAGTTACATCTGAATATTGTCACACACAGAGAGATTTTATTGATTTCTTTCCAAAATTGCACTGACTGCTATAAAATATGATACACCAATGTTTCAGGAGTTTAGGACACAGAATAGAACATGTTTATTTGATAACTGTTTTATTTCCTATTTGGGTTTATGTATGCTTTATTTTTTAAATTAACTGTTTTTTCCCAAGGCACTGTTAGATGCCAGTGTTTCCTGTCATAGCTAAGATTTGATTTCAAAAACAGTATCATAGCTATCAAAGTATATCTTATGATTTTAAATCTGTATTTAACCTCAAAACGATCTCAATGTAAAAAGGGGTGCTAAAGTCTGATTTTGTGGTGGCTATGCTTTAATAAATTATTATAATCTTAATTCAAGTGATGAAGGATTTTAAAAGTTTGACAGTAATCAGTGTTGAGTACTACTGTAAAGTTACCCCTGTCTGCTTTAAATGTTTGAAAACGATTAACAGTTTAGAAAAATTTAAAAGTAATTCAGAAACTTACATTTAGAAAAGTAATCAAAAAGTAATCAAATGTAATCAGTTACATTACTTTGATAAAGCAATTGAAATAGTTCCACTACTTATTACATATTAAATAGGGTAATTTATAATCTGTAACCTATTTCATTTTCAAAGTAACCTTCCCAACACTTGCTGGAAACACATAGTTTTGCGCAACTCTTTATTTACCTGGTGTGCTGTGCATATTAATTTAATGTAATGTGGCTAGTATGTGCAGTATGTGTGGTTTTGATCCCTGTGGAAGAGAGGGAGTTCCCGAAGTACGCAGCAGGGCTAGTAACATAGACATTTCATGAACTCTTCCTGTACAGCCTCTCTTCAACCTATTGTTGAATGATACTGCAGAAACCACATTCCTGGATATTTCCTCTTTTCTCATTCTCACTCTCATTCTTTCTCTTTGTTTCACATATGCACTCAAGAATTGAGAAACTCTTATGAGTGACATTCCTCACTGTACACGGTACTATCTCACAGGGAGCAGAGACTATTTCAGATGGCATTCCTGCCCTTAACTTCCTGTGGAGTTTGCTGGTGCATAGAAACTCACAAGAGTGACATTCCTGACCATTCCCCCTCTGACCCATCCAGTTTTCCTCTGAAACCAGGAGATTTCCATCTGTCTTTCAGATGACCCCAGGATGACCCTGCAGGCCACCCAGCAAAGAGTTTGTCTTTAAGTGCTACACTTATAGCCCCGGTTTCACAGACAGAGCTTATCTTAGCAAAGCCAGGACTAGGTGTTAGTTAAATTAGGATATTTAAGAAGCTTTTATAAAAATGCCTTAGAAATGAACATTACTGGTGTGCATCTTGAGACACTGACATAATTTAGGATATGTCAGTGCAAGTTATTTTCAGTTGAGATTGCTAAAACATGCATTTTAGTCTGGGACTCGCCTTAAGCCTCGTTTGTGAAACTGGGGGACTATGAGTTTGTCGTAATTGTTACATATAATTTACCATCTTTAGATATATCTATTCAAATGTATATATGTATATAAGCCTTGAAAGTTTTCTACACACATCCAGTTGCAGTTGCAACAGGTAAGCAAGCAGATTTCCAGTTGCAAATCTACAATTTCAGCAATAATACTGCAATTTGATATTCAATTTTATTCTATCTTAAAGCTTCTATATTAATCTATATATTAAAGCAGCGATTACTGTAAATTATATATAAAAATGTCACTGTGGAAATATACTAATTGTACGCTCAGACATAGGTTTATCTTTCAGAAACAAATGTGATTTATATTTAATGTGTAACTGCGATTGTGAAAGAGAGAGGAAGATCCAAACTGAAAGAGACTGAAAGAGATGCTTCAAACAAATTAAAAAATCGTGTAAATCTTGATGGTTCACAGTATACCAGCATGTGTGTAGTGAAAGTACTGGAACATTGTTGGCCAATAGTACAGTAGAAACTGGCATCAGTCCACATTTCGTTTATCACTAAACTCTTACTTCAGGACAAGCTGGGAGTGACAAAATGTTGCAAGACCTCAAGGGATTCCCTCCAACAATGCCAGTACCCTGAGACTGCCTAGAAATGTAATCTATACTGATCAAAGTGATATGCGTAACACAGAGGGCTTGGATTGTTCAGCTCTTTGTCTAAATATCCTTTCTAACGCAGTCAACCAAAGTGAAATATAACTTCATACCACAGTTGTCACTGTAAAAGTGGAGTCAAACATAACACAAGTCACTGTTCTGGTCATAGCCTACACATTGCATTCTATATTCATGTGGGGCTTTAAGAATGACAGGCTAGAATAATGTTTCCATTGTCATTTCTGCAACATTTAAGACTGGGCATGTGGCATCACTGCACTGTTTGGTGAAGTGGGAACACTACTCTTCTGTGTGAAGCTGACTTTGTCCAATATGAAATTGTTTTAGCTACAGCCTCGATTAATTTCGACGTTCAGTCTATCAATAGACATTGACATAGTAGTGGAGGGTTGGGCTCGTTTGTTTAGATCACACAAGAATGCTCCCCACCTTGAAAAAAAGATAAAAGGTTTACCGAAGAAAAAGCGACTCGATGTACGTTCCCAGGGCAACCGCAAGCCCAACCTACCGCCATAGTAGAATTACCTGAATTCTCCTCACGTGACCGATCCCCAGGCCTTCCGACCAATCAGAAGACAGGACAGGTGCGCTCATGGTAGTTTCGGAGGTGGAATCTCAGGTACTCTTGTAAACTGCGACGACACTATAAAGTCTTTCACGTAAGTTCAAATTTTGCGTGGCATATTCAGAACCTCCTCCAGGTGATGTTGGGCAAAGGATGAAGTTACGTTTTCTCACAGACTAGGATATCTATTGAGTCGAGTTATGCGAAAAGCGTCTCAGTGATTGTAGTCTTCGCATACGCGGGAGTGGAAGATGATTTTCACGCACCGTGATTTCTTCTGAGGATTCAGCGTCTCTGTTGTCTCAGCACACCTTTCATTTAGAGGAACCTCGGGCTGCGTTTATCTCGTTCTCATCATTTTTGTGCAGGTGAGTCGCTCAGGCTGATGATCAGGTTCGTTGTTGTGGCATGAATCATCACCTGTAAAAGACTCTCTGGAGCTTATGGCGCTGTAAACCTGTTCTGCACCACAGGACAATATCCTAGGTTGTTTGTCTTGTATGACGTGAATCTCATTTGTTTTGTACGAATGAAGTTATTCGCAAAAAGGCCTAGGTTTAAAATGGCATTCATACAGAATATGACTTTAATACACATATTAGCCAATATGATAAACGTTCTTACAATTTCTTAATTAAAAGTCAATTTGATATTTTGTATGAGTGTAGAAAATTGTCAGGTGGTGTAACTGAGATTTAAAAACAACAAAAATGATCAAACATAGTTTTGAATAATATTTTATAATGATTTATTATTATTAGGGTATTTCCTTTAAAAATATGTAAAGCAATTTTGATATCAATGGTGTAATCAACATGCATGAAGCCATTTTGTTGTCATGTGACAAAATCATAAAACAGGGAGGACCCTTTTAGACCACTAGCCTATACGGTAAAATATTAGCTAAACGAGAAAGAAAATCTGAAAGTTTTTTTTTTTCTTCAGAAAAGTAAAATATATGTAACTCTCATGGCATGGCCTAGCCTATATCTCATTAAATCTGCGATTTGGAATGGTATATAGGCTACATTCATAATGTATGAAACCAACACGAATACAAAGTTTAGGCTACATTTCTAAGAACTTGACACGTGTTTTAAGCTAGATTTTTTAAAAGAGTTCTCCATCTTGGATCTTACTTGTCATTGATCCCTATAAGCAAATCCATTTTTATAACATTAATGTAGCCTATCTAGTGAAGGGTGGAGATATAGCCTATTTCATAAAGTAGCCTATATTAAACCTAATCTATTACAGATCTATCTCAGATTACACTGTGTTATTGTTATTCTTGAATAGACATGTTGTGTCTATTGTTGTTCTTACGTCATAGCGTCATAATTAAGCGGGGGTTTATAGATTACAATTAGCCTAAGTGGTAGGTAGCTACACCTAAAAATAGATACAACATAGTTATTCCAGTTTTAATGTTGAAGTAGTGAAGTCGTATTTATTTATTGTCTGTTTAGTTTTAACAATGACTGAGAAAACAGCTCCCTGGTGGAGGTCTTTCGTGGGCAAGAGGAGAAAGGCAGCCAGAGAATCTGCGGCGACACTGGAACAGGACCTCCGTAATCAGGCTTCAGCAGGGTCCACACAGCATCCCTCCGCTGAGCCGGACCAACGGCTCACTTCACCGACACGCCCAGCGAAAGAAGAGGGCAACTGCTTACCGAGCGACGAAACATATGACGACTCCGCTGTTCAGCCAACATTCAACGAGAGCTCCAATCGCCGCAATCTCACCGTGTCCCGCTCCGGACGCTTCAAAGAGAAACGGAAGACGCGCGTCAGTCTTCCACAGAACCACGGAGATGATGGGAAATCAGCCGACGTCCAGTCAACCCGCTGATTGCCACTGCGGTTTGGTAGAGCACTAAATACGGCACTACCTCCCTTCTGACACTGTTGAACTCAATTTGACTCATGAATGCACTTATATGAAGGTATGAGGATAGCCTTTTGGAGTAAGTTATCCATATTACAGAAGCTTTATTTTCCAAATGCTGGAAATAATGACATTTCCCTGCTGAAAAAAACTGTTTCTTAGTCAGGCTAGTCTTTACAGGTTTTAAAGGGGTTTTGGGCACTTTACAATAGCTGGAAGACCAGCTGGGCCAGTCTGGATTACTAACTAGGCCAGCCTTAACCAGCTAAGACCAGCAAACCATAAGATGTTTTTTTTTTGCCAGCAGGGTTATTGGACATTCAGCAGAATAATTTTTGTGAAGGATACAACTTAAAAATTTTTTTTTTAGAGATTTGTCATACATAATTTGCACTGTTTTGTGGTGTTGTTGCAATATTTTACGAAGGACTGTACATTAGAAGGATTTAGCAGCATATATTTTTAATGGTAATCAGTGTGCTGCAAGCACAGCCTTATCATGACTTGTTTTTAATGCTTGTGCATGCATGCCACATATTTTTAAAGGGGTTAGGGTGGTGGTCCTATCCGTCCAGAATCAGATTATTACTGTATATGCCATGATAGTCATGCATTCGACATGTCAGAAATCAAAGCCATGCATTTTCTTGTGTAGTTTGTTTTATTGAATCCACCTTGATAGTAGTGATTCATTCTCCCACTGCAAAACAGTAGTGCTATATTTTCATTAGACAAACCAAAGATTCTATTCTTATAATGTTTAGTTAACAGAGTCAAGAGAAGCAATATAACTAAACTATAAACTGTTAGTTTAGCAAACAGTGTTTACAGTAGTTATATGAGTATATTATTGAAGACATGAGTTGAACTTGGTTACTATTCAGTCATCCTAAATTAGAATGGAACCTGATAATTCGGTTAAAAAAACTGTGATCAAACTATGAGATTTAATCTGTTATGAGTAAAGCTGGTTGTTAGAGAAATAGGCCTCTGTAGCTTCAGATCCTTTGAGTAGGCAAGTGATGCAGAGACAGATTTGAGATTTGTGTCTATAATGAAGATTTAGACAAGGTTTCAGTGCAATCAGGAAAAAATTGGAATGTACTGTACTTGTGCATTAGTTTGCTAAATTTAGCTTGGGAAGGAAGTGTTACTACATCAGATTTTAAATAAACAGATGATTTTCCATCTAAAGCATCCATTTGTGCATGTGCTGAGTTGTTGTTGCCCCTGAATGTGCTTACGTGTATGTGTTTGTTATGGGTGGGGTAAACAGAGAGCAATAGGTCATTATTAGAGTTACAGTATTTAAAACTCCATCAGTGTGTGCTAATGCTCGTCACCTCGCCTGAGGCTGTCATCTTTAACCTCATCAACCCTGTATCACAACATTCCTTACTCTTAGAAGACAAGTTTCTCAGAGAGCCAGAATGACTGCACTGTCTTTCCCTAATAGTGTGGAAAATATTAGATCATTTGCATGGACTTACAAACCAGAGATTATATATTCATGTGGGGCTTTAAGAATGACAGGCTAGAATAATGTTTCCATTGTCATTTCTGCAACATTTAAGACTGGGCATGTGGCATCACTGCACTGTTTGGTGAAGTGGGAACACTACTCTTCTGTGTGAAGCTGACTTTGTCCAATATGAAATTGTTTTAGCTACAGCCTCGATTAATTTCGACGTTCAGTCTATCAATAGACATTGACATAGTAGTGGAGGGTTGGGCTCGTTTGTTTAGATCACACAAGAATGCTCCCCACCTTGAAAAAAAGATAAAAGGTTTACCGAAGAAAAAGCGACTCGATGTACGTTCCCAGGGCAACCGCAAGCCCAACCTACCGCCATAGTAGAATTACCTGAATTCTCCTCACGTGACCGATCCCCAGGCCTTCCGACCAATCAGAAGACAGGACAGGTGCGCTCATGGTAGTTTCGGAGGTGGAATCTCAGGTACTCTTGTAAACTGCGACGACACTATAAAGTCTTTCACGTAAGTTCAAATTTTGCGTGGCATATTCAGAACCTCCTCCAGGTGATGTTGGGCAAAGGATGAAGTTACGTTTTCTCACAGACTAGGATATCTATTGAGTCGAGTTATGCGAAAAGCGTCTCAGTGATTGTAGTCTTCGCATACGCGGGAGTGGAAGATGATTTTCACGCACCGTGATTTCTTCTGAGGATTCAGCGTCTCTGTTGTCTCAGCACACCTTTCATTTAGAGGAACCTCGGGCTGCGTTTATCTCGTTCTCATCATTTTTGTGCAGGTGAGTCGCTCAGGCTGATGATCAGGTTCGTTGTTGTGGCATGAATCATCACCTGTAAAAGACTCTCTGGAGCTTATGGCGCTGTAAACCTGTTCTGCACCACAGGACAATATCCTAGGTTGTTTGTCTTGTATGACGTGAATCTCATTTGTTTTGTACGAATGAAGTTATTCGCAAAAAGGCCTAGGTTTAAAATGGCATTCATACAGAATATGACTTTAATACACATATTAGCCAATATGATAAACGTTCTTACAATTTCTTAATTAAAAGTCAATTTGATATTTTGTATGAGTGTAGAAAATTGTCAGGTGGTGTAACTGAGATTTAAAAACAACAAAAATGATCAAACATAGTTTTGAATAATATTTTATAATGATTTATTATTATTAGGGTATTTCCTTTAAAAATATGTAAAGCAATTTTGATATCAATGGTGTAATCAACATGCATGAAGCCATTTTGTTGTCATGTGACAAAATCATAAAACAGGGAGGACCCTTTTAGACCACTAGCCTATACGGTAAAATATTAGCTAAACGAGAAAGAAAATCTGAAAGTTTTTTTTTTTCTTCAGAAAAGTAAAATATATGTAACTCTCATGGCATGGCCTAGCCTATATCTCATTAAATCTGCGATTTGGAATGGTATATAGGCTACATTCATAATGTATGAAACCAACACGAATACAAAGTTTAGGCTACATTTCTAAGAACTTGACACGTGTTTTAAGCTAGATTTTTTAAAAGAGTTCTCCATCTTGGATCTTACTTGTCATTGATCCCTATAAGCAAATCCATTTTTATAACATTAATGTAGCCTATCTAGTGAAGGGTGGAGATATAGCCTATTTCATAAAGTAGCCTATATTAAACCTAATCTATTACAGATCTATCTCAGATTACACTGTGTTATTGTTATTCTTGAATAGACATGTTGTGTCTATTGTTGTTCTTACGTCATAGCGTCATAATTAAGCGGGGGTTTATAGATTACAATTAGCCTAAGTGGTAGGTAGCTACACCTAAAAATAGATACAACATAGTTATTCCAGTTTTAATGTTGAAGTAGTGAAGTCGTATTTATTTATTGTCTGTTTAGTTTTAACAATGACTGAGAAAACAGCTCCCTGGTGGAGGTCTTTCGTGGGCAAGAGGAGAAAGGCAGCCAGAGAATCTGCGGTGACACTGGAACAGGACCTCCGTAATCAGGCTTCAGCAGGGTCCACACAGCATCCCTCCGCTGAGCCGGACCAACGGCTCACTTCACCGACACGCCCAGCGAAAGAAGAGGGCAACTGCTTACCGAGCGACGAAACATATGACGACTCCGCTGTTCAGCCAACATTCAACGAGAGCTCCAATCGCCGCAATCTCACCGTGTCCCGCTCCGGACGCTTCAAAGAGAAACGGAAGACGCGCGTCAGTCTTCCACAGAACCACGGAGATGATGGGAAATCAGCCGACGTCCAGTCAACCCGCTGATTGCCACTGCGGTTTGGTAGAGCACTAAATACGGCACTACCTCCCTTCTGACACTGTTGAACTCAATTTGACTCATGAATGCACTTATATGAAGGTATGAGGATAGCCTTTTGGAGTAAGTTATCCATATTACAGAAGCTTTATTTTCCAAATGCTGGAAATAATGACATTTCCCTGCTGAAAAAAACTGTTTCTTAGTCAGGCTAGTCTTTACAGGTTTTAAAGGGGTTTTGGGCACTTTACAATAGCTGGAAGACCAGCTGGGCCAGTCTGGATTACTAACTAGGCCAGCCTTAACCAGCTAAGACCAGCAAACCATAAGATGTTTTTTTTTTGCCAGCAGGGTTATTGGACATTCAGCAGAATAATTTTTGTGAAGGATACAACTTAAAAATTTTTTTTTTAGAGATTTGTCATACATAATTTGCACTGTTTTGTGGTGTTGTTGCAATATTTTACGAAGGACTGTACATTAGAAGGATTTAGCAGCATATATTTTTAATGGTAATCAGTGTGCTGCAAGCACAGCCTTATCATGACTTGTTTTTAATGCTTGTGCATGCATGCCACATATTTTTAAAGGGGTTAGGGTGGTGGTCCTATCCGTCCAGAATCAGATTATTACTGTATATGCCATGATAGTCATGCATTCGACATGTCAGAAATCAAAGCCATGCATTTTCTTGTGTAGTTTGTTTTATTGAATCCACCTTGATAGTAGTGATTCATTCTCCCACTGCAAAACAGTAGTGCTATATTTTCATTAGACAAACCAAAGATTCTATTCTTATAATGTTTAGTTAACAGAGTCAAGAGAAGCAATATAACTAAACTATAAACTGTTAGTTTAGCAAACAGTGTTTACGGTAGTTATATGAGTATATTATTGAAGACATGAGTTGAACTTGGTTACTATTCAGTCATCCTAAATTAGAATGGAACCTGATAATTCGGTTAAAAAAACTGTGATCAAACTATGAGATTTAATCTGTTATGAGTAAAGCTGGTTGTTAGAGAAATAGGCCTCTGTAGCTTCAGATCCTTTGAGTAGGCAAGTGATGCAGAGACAGATTTGAGATTTGTGTCTATAATGAAGATTTAGACAAGGTTTCAGTGCAATCAGGAAAAAATTGGAATATACTGTACTCTTATGCATTAGTTTGCTAAATTTAGCTTTGGGAAGGAAGTGTTACTACATCAGATCTTAAATAAACAGATGATTTTCCATCTAAAGCATCCATTTGTGCATGTGCTGAGTTGTTGTTGCCCCTGAATGTGCTTACGTGTATGTGTTTGTTATGGGTGGGGTAAACAGAGAGCAATAGGTCATTATTAGAGTTACAGTATTTAAAACTCCATCAGTGTGTGCTAATGCTCGTCACCTCGCCTGAGGCTGTCATCTTTAACCTCATCAACCCTGTATCACAACATTCCTTACTCTTAGAAGACAAGTTTCTCAGAGAGCCAGAATGACTGCACTGTCTTTCCCTAATAGTGTGGAAAATATTAGATCATTTGCATGGACTTACAAACCAGAGATTATACAATCAAAGCTTGTAGAGTCATGACTGCACTGTTCACATTGAATCAAATGCATTTTATCGTTGTTGTTGTTTGACACAATTGATCGTTTTTAGCAGTAGCTGATTTTATTGTCACTCAATGAAATATTCAGATACTATCTTGACCCCATTTCTGATTAAATCTGGTTTGGAGGTCATCTTTAATTAGCCATGCCTCTCTACTCTGCACACACACAAACTAAACGTTGTCAAAAAAACTACCACTAGAGAGCGATCTGGTCGCGCGCAGCAAAGAGTACAGCCACCTGAAGCACAAAAAACTAGATGCGATGTTAAACAATTAATAAAAGCCTTAGCTTTTAGCTTTATTTTCATTACAGAAATTTGACATACTTTCTACATGCATTTTAATAAACACTCTCGGGTGTGTGAATAATATAAAATATGAAATGGCCAGGCTCATGGTCAGGACAGCCTCCCACCACGCGCTGCCTGAGATGGTCCTCACTGCAGAACACAAGATCCAGGGGGCGAGGTTGGATCCAGATCCAACTACTCCCACCTTACATATACCTAAACCAGGGGTAGGCAAGTTCGGTCCTAGCTCCAACCCTAATCAAACACACCTGAACAAGCTAATCAATGTCTTCAGGATTACTAAGGCTATAGGCAGGTGAGTTTTTTTTTTCAGGGTTGGAGCTGAACTCTGTAGGACTGCGGCTCTCTAGGACCGAACTTGCCTACCCCTGACCTAAACCTACCCGTCTCCACCCCCTGATCCCTAAACCCACCCATCTCCACCCCTAAACCTACCAATCTCCACCCCCTAGATGTGGACTCCCCCCCCTGATCCCTAACCCCCCCCATCCCCCCCCCTAAACCTACCAATCTCCACCCCCTAGATGTGGATCCAACCCCGCCCCCTGGATCTTTGTTCTGCAATGAGGGGCTACTGCGCCGCCTGCTGTGCTGTCGTTTGCATTCTAGACGCAACAGGCGGACCACAGGGTGCGCGTGCTGTAGTCCGGTTCAGTTCACACATAAATTCCAAAGAAGCACAGCATTTGGACAGTGTGTCACCATTTCTAGTGGATTGTTCTTTACCAAGTGGAGAGGACATATTTCTACAGCTTTCTTCAAGTGTTTTTAAATTACATTTTTATGCGTCACGTACTTCACGGAAAATTAGACGCGAATAGTCATCGTGAAACCCTCAGCGTCTTCCTAATTATAACACGAGCTCGCGGTCAGTAACTGTATCTCGTGGGTCAAAGGCGCGCGCTATGCAGACCCAGCCTCGCGCCCCGACTGGCCTCTGACAACTTCCCTGCGTCCCCCGGAGGAGCAGAAAAACGCACGAAACTTCAGCTTTCCAAGGTAAGGTAGCCTTTGAAAACTACATTACAGTAAACAAGGCTTTTATAATACCATTGAACCACTACCGTTATGTTTAACATATGACACTGGTTTGTGTTCTCAGCTGGACTCTGTTGGTGAGTGTCATATTATTGACTCACAACAGCACTGACAGTAACCAGACTTAAATGTGAACAGTCTGGTCATATTTCACAACTTTTCGAATGACACAGTTTAGTATCTGAATTTTTAATGGTTAGAGTGTTGTACGTTGAACTTTAAAGGGACAGTTCACCCAATAGCCTAAAGACAATTCTGTCGTCGTTTACTCACGCTTGTGTCGGTCCAAACCTGATACATGACTTTCTTTCTTGTGTGGAACATAAAAGAAGATATTTGAACAGCAGCCGAACAGTTTTGTTTACCAATGATGTTCAGCTGTACATAAAAATATTTTCTCAAAACCTTTTCTCAAAATATCTTCTTTTATGGTCCACAGAAGGAAGAAATTCATACAGGTTTGTAAAGAAACGAGGGTGAATAAGTGATGACAGAATTTACATTTTTGGGTCATCCATCCCTTTAAGTATACAAACCTATTTATTTTCATATGAATTATTAATTTAAATAATAATTTAATAATTTTAACTCTCTCACACTGTACTTAACATAGCAGGTTATTAAATCTAATGTTATAAAATTCACGTGAAATGAATGAAATATATATATATAAAGATATATTCTTTAAACAGAATACAAATCATTCACACGTGTTATGATTAGCATCAGCCAGATATTATACAGCATGTCTCTACAGGTGGATAAAAATGTTTACACATGGGTGGACCAGCACAACATTGTGTGTCAACATCTCCATGGGAAAGCTGTTAATGGGACTCTAGGGAAAAACAGAGAGTTGTTAAGAGCTATGCAGCTGGATGAAATATAACCCACAAGATCTTGGACAGTCATATCATGAAAGAGGCCAAAGGATGAATAGTTGAATTCTTAATGTGACTCTTGAACAATGTTGGGATTTTATTTATTTAATCATCTACAAATGTGAAATTAATTTTAGAATTTCCTAATGCTTGAACTTGTCCGTTTGTCCTTTTCCTCCATGGAGCAATAACACAATGTTTCTCTATTTTGGCAAGAATAAACATTCCTAATAATTAACATATTAACTAAATTCCTTCTACATTTCTCAGCTGTATTTAGCGGGTTTCTCTTCCTCACACAATAGCTCTGATTGGCTGCTGTGCTGGGCTTGCCAGAAGTTGAGCAGCTCTACTTCTCAAACAACAGACTCCATTGTTATCTCCAGAGCCCTCCGGCTCTTGATAAGGTTGCCACTTTACTCTGATCTGAGATCATTTGTATGCCTGTTCCTTTTAAAAGTCAAGTTCAGGAGTTTGTATGTTAGAGATGACCCTAGTTCAGAGTTAAATGCAGTTTCTTCAAAAGATGATCTTTGGAACCTCTCACTGGCCATTGTGGAAGCAGGAGATTGGTTTTCCTAAAAGAGAAGGGAGGGTTCCTGTTGGGTGCATCTTGTGATGGACAAGCTTCCTGCCAAGAGGAACATGTACTGTAGACTTGTGGAGAGAGAGAGGGGTGTGGGGAGATCGCTTTGTCATGTTGAAACCACAGTGAAGTGCTGAAAAGTTCTTGGTGTTCTTTAACACTTTTGTTTAGCTGGAGCTCTAAATGTAAGTCAGCATTTACAAAATACATTTACAACTAGTTTAATTTTTGTATGTTATAAATAAAACCTGAATTTAGAAATGAAAATCAAGTCTATCTAAACATTATGAGTGGGCTTATTAATTTAATTTAATATAATTTAATTTTATATTTATTAATGCAAATACCTATAATTAAACTATTCATTTAGTTTAATTATATTATACATTTTAAATATCTCTTATCTTTATTAATATCTCTTATCTAATCTCTTAAATTTGTTTAATTATAATAATTTAAATATCTGCCTGAGAGGTCAAATAGTACAATACAGAGGGCAAGTGTCCCACTGTCTGTGTTTTAAAGGGGTCATATGATGCAATTTAAATTTTTCCTTTCTCTTTGAAGTGTTACAAGCTCTTGGTGCATAAAGAAGATCTGTAAAGTTGGAAAGACTAAAGTCTCAAATCCAAAGAGATATTCTTTATAAAAGTTAAGAGTCAACCACGACTACCTAAAACGGCTCGTTCTAACACGCCCCCACATGTCTACGTCACGATGTGGGAAGATTTGCATAACGCCGCCCAAATGTTCACGCAAAGAAAGAATGCGTAACTTTTTATTCTCGCTGTAGTATTGTTGCCGCCATGTCATGAAGACGCTGTGTTTCGTTGTGAAAGCGATACACCAAATACACAAAATAATGTTCTTTTTAGCAACATCATATGACCCCATATGTGACTGTTTTTTCAGGTTCCTGAGCAATGCCTGTCCCTCCTCCTCCACCTCCCCCAGCTCCACCACCCCCACCTCCACCTCCTGCAGCTCCTGCACCTCCTGCACAAGTGAGATCCATGCACACACACATTCACAGATAGCTATTATTGTAATATAGTTCATCAGAATGTGTGTATAATGGCTCTTTTTCCATATGTCTGTTGCTTTCTCTCTCTGTCTCTTTCTCTTTGTTTCCGTCACGCAGTTCCTCCTGGCAACCACCTGGCTAGATGTGCATTATTAATTAGAGATAAAATTACACTCAGGGGCATATACAGCACAGGTGTCACATGTTCAGATTTGGCTTTCTGGTTGAATGCATGTGCACACAAATGACATCTTTGAACACATTTAAAACCAACATTAAAGGGATAGTTTACCCTGTAATGAACATTATGAATCATTTACTCACCATTTTAAACCTGTATGACTTTTTTCTTCTTCTTTAAAACATAAAACAAGGTATTTAAAATATGTCCATACCATAAAATTGTTGTCTTGGACTCGATGACTTTCATTATATGGACAAAAACAGTTGAAACATTCTTCAAGATAACTTTTCAACACTTTATGAATCTTGTAGTTTTCTAAATCACACGTTGTGCCATTTTAGACTTAATTAAGTCATTTTAGAATTCAGTACCTAATTAGATTAGACCATTTTTTTGGCCAGTTTGAGTTTTGGCATATCATAGATACTGCAATAAAAACCATACCAGAGAAAACTAATGGCACAGTGAAACTCATTAAAACTGCATAACATTAAGAAAGTTGCTATTTTTCACTCTTTATTTTAGTCACGGACAGACCCTCCTAAAATACAGCGTTCTGAGGGTGGAGGTCGCAGTGCGCTCCTGTCTGACATTCAGAAGGGGACGAGGCTGAAAAAGGTCACACAGGTCAATGACCGAAGCACACCATTCCTTGACAGTAAGTCAAAATCAAATTTATTAACGTAAACTCAATTCTTTAACACTGATCAGGTGAAATGAGTCACCTGGCAACAATCCATCTGGTTGCAAGCATGGGAAATATGAATACTAAAGTGATACTATTTCAGGTTCTATTCCTGATTATCTGATTTAGCAGTCCAAAATTAATTTCTGCTGTATGATGGCAACACTGGAATATTGTTTATTAATGTAACCAGAGCTACCAGCATTGCATTTTCAACGATTGTTTATTGAAAATGAGAGTGTTGTGTCAGCATGAGAACCTGTATTAAATTACTCTCTCGTGAAAATGAAACTGAAGGAGTTTGAGAAACAGTACAAAAGAATAACTATGTGGAGAAAACCAGGCATCAGAAAAAGTCTGAATGGCTGATAAGTTTTAAGGACTTATCAGTGGCAGAGCTATATTTAAACTCGAGGTCCATAGCCATTGGGTTCTCATACTTCAAAGCACTCATGTGCACACAAAGACACATAGGCTTTCTATCTGTATATGGAAATGCACTGCGGCAGATAAAGGGCCAAGACCTCAGGAAGTGCTGGAGTGAGGATCACACAGAAAGTGGGGGTGACGATGCTTCTCATCTTGCTCTTTATTACAAAGGACAGCAGTATTCTCTGTGCTCAGGACATACCATGTTCATTAAAAAGTCATTGTATCACTTTAGTTTACAGTTCCTGTTTATGCATCACTCTTTGTCTTGAGGTCTGCTTGCCTTATGTGATTGAAAGTAGGATGTTCTTGGGCATTATCATTTGTTGGTCCTGGAAAAGGTTATTATTATAACAGGAGCTATTAAGAAGACGAAAACTAGATATTGAAAATGTATTTTAGTTTGCAACTATAGTTTATAAATATAATTTATGAACCCGACTGAGCATGCATTTCACTTGCTGAAGACAAAACTAAAGGCAGAAAGACCCAAAAAAACAAACAACAACTGAAGTTAACTCAAGTAAAGGCCTGGCAAAGCATCACAAAGGAGGAAACCCAGTCTCTGGTGATGCCCATGAGTTCCAGACTTAAGACAGTCACTGGGCCTCACGAAACGAACGTACGACAGAAAATTGGGCGTATGGTCGTTTCAACGCAAAACTTGGAATTTATCAATATGGACGTGAGCGGTGGCTACGATCAAATCTGGTCTCAGCTCGTGTAAGCAAGTTTTTGAGTTACCTGAACTTGCGGTCGATCGTTAACCAGTAAGATTAGAATGTCTTTTTTGTTTTGTTTAATACGGTGCTTTAGCTTTATATGCACGAATAGCAGCGTAAACAAGACCATGAGGATTCAATCATCGCATCATGCACCTTGCAGCGCTTCTGTGAAAGGAGAAAAACAGAAATTAAGTCTATAAAAGGAATAAAATAAATAGGATCACACAAATAGGCTAAAATATAATTAACAGATTAACAAAATGAAAATGAAAAAAACCACTGTGCAACAAGTGCCTAGGCTATGCTCGCTGTTGTGACACTCCTAATGCATTTTTTTCCTTTATATCTTTATTTGATTTAATCCATCTGATCGCACAGTCGCCTCACGCACACACAAACAACATTAGTTCTACCGTTGCCTGACATTCAGCCATTCATCATCAAACTAAAATGCAGTCAACCAAACATAAAAGTTACACTGTTTATTTTAAAAGGTCCGTTGTAAAATCAGCGTGCAACACCCAAACAAAAATGTTTGCAAGGATTTTACACGGATATTAGAACATAAGTGAAGTATAAAGCCATGTTTAGGCTACATAATGAATAATAGTTATGCAAACAAATGTTACAAATATGGCAAAAATGGAAACATTTGGATTCTTGTGGTATGAGACAGGCTCGTGAGCCCAATGCCGTTTCAGTTTTGCTTGACATATGTATGCTGTTTATAATGAATGCCACTATAGCCTAATTTGTGTTTTAGCCTATTTTATAGTTTAATATATCATTTTATAACTATTTATTTTTCATTCTTGTTCTGTTCTGATCTGAATACTGTTAAATTTTAAATATCTGTTGTAGAGTGAGGGGAACTAAATAGACTGTTAATATTTACCAGTATTTTACTATACATATAAATGACATGTATTAATGTAGCCTAATTGTTTGCAATTACAAGGTTAACGGGTGTTTTTGGAGTAAGATCAATTTCTCTTTCATGAGATGACTTCCTCTTTTTGGCCAGGTTTCGTTTCTCCGTGTCGTAAACTCTAGGGGCGAGGCTTCTAAACC